CAGCTGTCGCATTCCTTGTGTCAAGCCACTCTTGAACAAGACACAGCGTCAGAAGCGTCTCACCTGGGCTAAAGACAAAAAGGACTGGACTGCTGCTGAGTGGTCCAAAGTTATGCTCTCTGATGAAAGTAAATTTTGCATTTCCTTTGGAAATCAAGGTCCCAGAGTCTGGAGGAAGAGAGGAGAGGCACAGAATCCACGTTGCTTTAAGTCCATAGTTTCCACAGTCAGTGAACGCAGCCGTCTACCAGGAATTTTTAGAGCACTTCATGCTTCCTGCTCCTGACCAACTTTATGAAGATGCAGATTTCATTTTCCAATAGGACTTGGCACCTGCACACAGTGCCAAAGCTACCAGTACCTGGTTTAAGGACCATGGTATCCCTGTTCTTAATTGGCCAGCAAACTCGGCTGACCTTAACCCTATAGAAAATCTATGGGGTATTGTGAAGAGGAAGATGCGATACGCCAGACCCAACAATGCAGAAGAGCTGAAGGCCACTATCAGAGCAACCTGGGCTCTCATAACACCTGAGCAGTGCCACAGACTGATCGACTCCATGCCACGCCGCATTACTGCAATAATTCAGGCAAAAGGAGCCCCAACTAAGTACTGAGTGCTGTACATGCTCATACTTTTCATGTTCATACTTTTCAGTTGGCCAACATTTCTAAAAATCCTTTTTTTGTATTGGTCTTAAGTCATATTCTAATTTTCGGAGATACTGAATTTGGGATTTTCATTAGTTGTCAGTTTTAATCATCACAATTAAATTAAATAAACATTTAAAATATATCAGTCTGTGTGTAATGAATGAATATAATAACCAAGTTTCACTTTTTGAATGGAATTACTGAAATAAATCAACTTTTTGATGATATTCTAATTATATGACCAGCACCTGTATATGCAGAAAATCCTTTGACTTGCATGTTTCCCATACGGTACTTCAAATGAATCATTCGCCATCTTGTGCCACTTGTGTATTACTAAAAACAAATAGTCTGGCTGTGACATTAACATATACACAGAGGGTAAAATACAAAGTTTTAAAAATAGCATGATATTGTTGTTGAATTATTAAATTTAAGAGTTGGAAATGTACATTATGCTTACTTATCATGCACATTACTTACCAAGAGTTTATCCACCCTTGTATATTCCCCCAGCCTGTATTTGAGACCAGCTTTTACTGATGAAATACAGTATTTCACAGTTTTACAGAATTAACTATGTCACACTCACCATTCTGTGTTTTTTTAAACAAAAATGCTGTTCTCACTCACTGATTTAGTCATCAACTCTACTTTGGCATGCTTCACTGACATTAAGTTGACATATAATACAATACTTTGTGTACAAAAAAGTGAAGTGAAAACACCCTGACTGTTTTTAAAGCTCAATTCCAGTAAGTCTTCCTCAGTTTTTTGTGTGCATGTGTCACCAGCACCTCAGGAGGTGAAGGGTGCAATGAGGCTAAATGGTAATGTGTGTGTGCATATATTAACTTTGCCTAATCGTGCCTTTTAGTGCCTGTCTACTACCACCTGGAGAATTCAAGAGTCTGCTTTAGCACCATGCACACACAGGCACACAACCATTTCTGAGTTACTGAAAGCAAGAACATTTAATATATGCAACAATGTGGATGGAACTGAGAACAATGAAGCAGCGGTTAAGCTTTTAAGCCTTGTCTTCATTTGTCAACATCGTCTCTGTGTTGAGAACAAGATCAAATCAGTTATTCCTAGCACGTAGGATGCATCTCCCTCTCTCACTGTCTGTTTTTTGTCTTTTTTCCATTCCCATTGCTCTTAGTTCCTATTTTCTTCACCTGAGGCAGATTTGTTAAAGGCTGCTCTTTGCTTTCAAGTTGTCATTTTACTACAGTATTATTATTCATTGTAGCAGTAAATATTTTATTTTTGCCTTTTGAAAATACATAAAATACAATTCCTGGGAAGTGTCAGATCAGTGGCTCAAAAGCCTGTAGTCTAAGTATTTGATTTGTATCTTTAAACCTTATGAAAGGGATCACCTGGAAATCAAGATCTTTATCATAAAAAAAATTCCATCATGCATTGAATACACTGGGCAAAATACCTGCCGAACAACATCATGCAGGATTTCCAAATAAATTTAATTCAGTATATCTAAAGCAAAATAATTATCTGCAATCTGCCAGAATTCTATTAAAGTCCAACTATGAATAATGAATCCTTTGAGAAACTCTTTGTATAGTGAATTTTATTTATTTATTTATTTTACATGATTGTGAAAGACCTAAGATATGTTTATGTTTTTTGGTGGCACAATTAGATGAAAATGTTAGGAAAGTGGACTTTTGCAGCAGCAAATGATAGAAGAAAAGAAAATAACGGTGTAAATAAGAACTGAGTGAATGGGTTGAAAAGGAGAAAATATGATTTGTTTGTGGTGAGACACAGAACAGGATTTTAACATGCATGATATTAAAAATGTACCATAAGTGTGAGAGATATTCATAACATGTCTAAATAAAGAATAGAAACTGAAATGAAAACAAACCAAGATGCAATACACTGCACATTTCAAAATATGATGAAATCAGAAGAATGTAAATTCCACATAAAAAGAGAACATGTTCATATCCCACAAATTAAACCAGAACCTTAAATGTTATATGAATTAGATTTTGAACATTAATATAGTAGCAAACAACTATTTTCTATGTAAAGATATAGTGGAGTAATGGTTCCCTGAGTGGAGTATGACGTCACACTCCTTCTGTGTGTCATGACGTTGGGTTTGTGTTGTTATTTCCTGTTTTATTTTGTTAACTCCTTCCTTTTGTATATGTGTTACTTCTCTTCCTTGAGTCACCCGACCACTTTGACGCTGGGCTTAGCATGGAGCTTGCCAACTAACAGCCGGCTCATAGTTCCAGTGTGGGGTAGCCTCCGGTATACTAGCTCCCAGCTAACTACCCAGTCTGCCAGCCATCAGCCTTCATCCCTTGTTTCCACTGTGTTAGCCTCCAGCCTGATAGTCGTCAACCTGACTCCCAGCCTGCTAGCATCCAGTCATCACACCGGCCTGCTACCGGCCAACATATACTAAAGCCTGCTAGCAACCCGCCTGCACTTTAGTCAGCTGGCTTGGATCCAGCCAGTTTCCTGCCAGATCCTGCCTTGAACACCCTGCTTCTCCACTCCTCAGCCCCCGCAGAGTCTCCACTGCCCAGCTCTTCATCCACACCACTGCTCAGGGCTGCGGAGGTCCTGCTGTCCTCCAGTGCTACAGACTTAGCTTCACCGAGATTCAACCATCCATCTTCCCAGAGACCCTGCTAACCTGCACAATGTCTCCTGTCCCTGTTGATCTACAGCAGCCCACAGTAACAGCTTGAACCACAGCAGCCCACAGTAACAGCTTAGACAGAGAAGAACTTCCTGCTTCTGAGTTGGTAATGACTTTGGCTCCAATGCAGCAGCAATTCTGAGTCAGTTCCAGAGCAGCAGCAACTCCACGCTCCTGAGCTACAGCAGTCGCCTAATCCTGTGCTTCAGCAACCTCTTGTTTTCCTGCTCTCACCAACTCCTAGTTGTCGCTGGTCTCCAGCTCTGCACATCAGTCGCCTGTTGGTCATCTGTCCTACTGCCCTGTTGCTGGCCTCCTGTCCTGCTGTCCCATTGTTGGTCATCTGTCCTGCTGTCCTGTTCCAGTCTCTGGTCCAGATCTCCATCCATCAGGCCCCGCTCCTGGTCATTGGGCACATTGACGACCGGTCCTCCAAGACACTTGCCCCTGAATCTGTCCTCCAGACCTTGTTCCACCCATTCTGGTTTATCTTGGATTCTGTTTTGATGTTTCTGGACATTCTGTGCTTTGAAGGAATGTAGGAAGCCATTCCTTGGTGAGGGACTGTTACTGTTTTTGTCAATGGATTCTGGTGGGCCGTAGCACCCATTTGTTTTAGTAAATGGTAAATAATGTCCACCTACACCTTTCCAACATTGAATTTTTTTTTTCTAGCATAACCTGGCCCTTAGTCTTGTTATCCGATATCTGACAGATTTAAAAGTGCTGGAAGCAAACGTTAAAAAAGTTCAGAACGGATAACATCAAAGACATTTACTGCTCTCATTTAGTGAAACCACTGGGAATTGGTCATTTCCCTTGAAAGAGAAGGTCAATTACCTGACTTTTGAGCCTTTACACATGCACACACATAAATCGAATTCAGATAATTAGGTAGCAGATTTGGCTTCATGTAGCCGGGCAACGTTACAAACCAGTGAGCATTAACTGATTGTAGCGCATAACTGGTTAACTGTATTGAGTTTGTAAAGGCCGTGGACCTGAGAACAGACGTCAGCAGCACTGCTTTACTGCACACAGAAGAAAGCAGGACAGCAGAAAAAACAACTCCCTTAGACAGAATGTGGACCTTTCGCTACCTCATCTGACCCATGCATACTGACAACGGGCTGCATGGAGATTATCCATGCACAGCATGATGGGACTGGAAAAGGTCAGCAACTATGATTAGTTTCTCACACTTCTTTGCCATAACACCTGCCGCTGATGAGGCTGGACATATTAGTCTGCACAAAGAAGCATAATATATAGTCAGCGATTTCATGCTGTTTATCATCCACTGTTAAATCTTCTACAACCAGACAGAATTGTTTGCAATAAATACACTGAACGTCAAATGTGAAGGAAATGAATGGTAAGGAGCTAACAGGAATTTGAATTCCGTTTAGAGAGTTAGAAAGTTTCTCTTTAATTAGGCATGTGAGAAAGCATCTTCGCTCAAGACAGTGCAATTAGCTCTTAAAGCTTCCTTTGAAAACACTATCCTCTCCTCTCTATCTCTGTCTCGTATAACTCTTCTTTGGTGAGTCAGCCAGCATGGATAGCCAGACATCAATACTTGATTGGGGTCCAAGGTAGCCTGCAGCTACCCAGCTCCACCAGCTGGTCGGGGCAGCTTCACTGTGCAGCAGGAGAAGAGACGGCAGCATGGAACAGGCACTGCTCACAGGCTCCTGCTGACTCTCTGGACACAGTGAGCGCTCGGCGGTGCACAGCCAGCCTCAGGTGGCACCGGGAGGGCACGACTGGGATCCATCTTAAAATATCACAAACAAAAAATAAAAATAAGAACTCTTCTTATGCAGCTGAGGGATGTGCTTGTGTGTTGGCAAAGTGTTGTTTGTTTGTCGAGTCCCGCGGGATCCTAAATGTGTTAAGTCCCATGTGAGACAATATGAGGCAGCCCAGCATCTGCCACAAAAGCTTGCCTCCTCCATTTTTCTCTGTCTCACCACAGAGCAAAGCCACAGTTCATTTCTGAGGAGACATTCAGATCTGTCACACGGTGACATCCTCGAGAGAGCTTTGTCTTAAGCGAGGAAGACCTCCATTCTCATGCTAATAATTTTAAAGAAAATGTGAATCCCATTTAAATATTAAATCATGAATGGAGATCATTGTCATCCATCAATGACCAGATGAAGAATTACCAGTCAAACCTCAGCAATAAGATAGGGGACGAGAATGTTTATTGCATAATTATGGCTGGAGGATTAATTTTAATTTGGAAAGCTTGGAGTGTGCCAGAAAAATAATAAACAGCTTCAAATTGAAACTGTTTATTGGAATCAGTGAAGGAAGAAGTTTGGAGATCCTTTAGTGAATCAGAATAAGAACTCCAACATTGTGAAAATGCTCTGTTAGAAATAAACAACTTGGGTAAAAGTAAATCAGTAAAAATGTACTTAAATATTAACTTAAAAGTACATTTAACAGAATGTTTCCCATCAGAGTGTTATGTTATAATTATGTCATATAATATAAGATTTTTGTTTAGTTGAACAAAGTGGAACTTTCATAAACTACTGTTACCATGGTCAAGAATAAACTTTCACACTCAAATATACAGTTACACTAACAGTTTGTTAGTTTAAAATATAGGAAAGTATCTCACTTTATACACTGATTATACTGGATGTTCTGGATGTAAAGTCTTAATCTGCATAGTAACAAATAAAAAACAACATATAATGGAATAGCGGTATAAAGTTATTAAACCGGAACACTCAAGAACAAGTTTTCATAATTGTACTGAATAAAATGCTTGAAATATTTACAAGAAAAGCGAGGTTTGCTGTTGCTACTTTGAAACAATTTTTGATCAATACTGTTTGTCAGTCAGGGTTTAGATAGAAGAAAGGCATTTGACTCTTAATGAGAAGAAGCAAAGCTGAGTTATGTACTTGTGATATATTTCCTAGATAACTCAAAAAAGTTTTATTGACACAGAGAGAAATGTATAGAAACTTGCAGACATGCGGTTTGTGTGTGCGTACTTCAAATGTATAAATGAAGCATACTGAGCAATTTCTGTGTATGTGTTTATATAGACTTGAGCATATCCTCTGTCTGTAAAGATGTAGTGTAAAACCTGGCAGACTCTTGGAAGAAAATCAGATAATTGCTGTGAAAATTGAAACAGCAAGTTGATGCTTGTCTGTACTGCCAGCTCAGTTAGTGTTCCCTGATTGTGATGGGCATTTTCTGTGAAACATTTGTAAATCACATCTTGGCTAACTACAGTAGCAGCGTCTCGCAGAGAGTCATTTGCGCCACAGTTGGTCGGGGTGAATCCCTCATCCCTTCTGGCCCTAAGAGTCATGACAGGAAACGCCAGTACTAGCTGTTTGGAAGGCTTCAACTGATTGTAGAATTTGTAGTTCACTAGTCAATAAAGCTGTCCACCAGTACGCACATGCCCAAGTCTTATTAGTCCTGCAGTGCTGTGAATGTCTTTCTCTCATTAACAGCATCCATATTTAAATAGAGTGACAGGCTTGGCAGAGCTGAGTGTTTTTTGTGCAGTGAAGGTCCAAATGTGCGATCATTAAAGGCTTTATAGGGAGCACAGATCTGAGAATTTGACTTGGAGCGAAGGTTTAAGCTATGATGAGCAGACTGGACTGCACACACGAGTGTGTCAATGTAACTATGCGGAACAAAGGAAAGATGGAGCCAGTGATTTAATGATTGAAAATGTGTTTTTTCACTCTATAGAAAAATGGAGCTGTCATTCAGACACAGACAGACATACACAGAGATGGCAGCAAGCTACCACACATGGTGCTGATCTGACCATCAGGGGCAATTTCAGGTTCAGTGCCCAAGGACACTTTGACATGTGAACAGGAGTTTGTGGGGATCAAAACACCAACCCTGTAATCAGAGTGGATGACTCATTCTACCTCCTGATCCACAGCCATCCCGAAGCCATGCATGTCCTTTTGGTTTTTATTTGTTTTTTGAGATATCCATATCTGCCATTTTGGAATACATGTAGATGAATGTAATTAAATTTTCAATGTTTACAGGATTGAAAAATTTAATTTAAAAAGTCTGCCTTTCCACACCTTTTGTTGGCTGAGAAAGCAGAAACAACCTGAAAATGAAATGAGCAGCAGAATTTATAAAATAATACTAAATGTATCTGACATCAATTAACAGCTGTACCTACTGTACTGTACTCCAAATACTGAAGATATTCTGAACTATTAAATTGACCCAATTAAATTTGTCCCTGTTGAGCTACAAAAACACTCGCAGGTCATACAGTGGTTTCTTTTCCTTCCCTTTGGCTGAAAACAGCCAGCAGCTGCAGAGAGCACATTAACCAGCCTTTATGCAGTTAACATTAAGTAGCTGCAGTTATCGAGAACCCATCCTACTCTGGATTCTTTTTTAAAAGTGCCTTTTTGTAGATTTGTTTTACGACATTTAAGTTCATTATTTAGTTTGTAGTTTTTTTCTCTTTTAGTTTTAAATGTATTCTGTTTTTTTGTAAAGCACTTGGTAACTGTTTGAAAGGTGCTATAATATTAATCATCATCATCATCATCATCAATATTGCACCTGGGCCCAGAGCTTCACTGGAAATAAAAGCCACACCTTCTAGATTCGAACACGCTCTCATGTTCGCTGCCAGCTTTTTGATTTTGTTAAATCTTTGCTTTACTTTTACCACAACACTTGACACCATGTTCATACATCCACACCTACACTACTGATGTTGCTGACTAGCACATCCCATAGTTGAAGTGTTATTTTCATTTATTTTGTGTTATAATAAACACTGTGTACTTCAGGCATTGTGTCTTTCCCACTTTTGTCATGGACTTTGAGCCAGGTTATCACAAAATGGGGGCTCGTCCGTTTTGGTACTGCTTAGATCGAAAGATCCCGTTGAAACATTTGTAGATTTGTTCAAAGTGGGTTTTGTAGCACTCTGGGAGGTAGTTAGGTGTGTGTGTTTAGCAAGAATGTCTGCTTTGTCTGTTAGGGAGCAGGGCAGCTCAATTAAAATGGACCTCCGTCTGTTCCTTTGGTCAGTATTTGTTTGTTATGTCGTGACTGCCACAGCGTATTTTGGCTGGTTAAGCCAGGCAAGGGACAATTTGTATGCCTAAATAAATTTGTAGGTAGATTTTATTACCTAGGGCTGGGGAGGAGAATTCTAGCCCAGTCGTTGCTGCTGCAGGTAACAGGTAGGCCAGGTGACAGGTGTGGGTCCTCTTGTGTATATTATTTGAAAAGGGGAGCAGAGTTTTCTCTTGTAGGCTGTAGCAACAGTCCCCTTTGGGCTTGTTGAGCTGATCTTGTGTAGTGCTGTGATGAACCTTGTTGAAGCTTTGCTTGGGAGCATGTCAGTGGTTTCTGGAGAGTTGCTAGCTCGCTAGTCGCTCTCCTGATCCAGCGGTCTTCAGTGCACAAATACCCACCACAAGTACAGTATCTCACAAAAGTAAGTACACCCCTAACATTTTTTTTAATATTTGATTATATCTTTTCATGCAACAACACTGAAGAAATGGCACTTTGCTGCAATGTAAAGTAGTGAGTGTACAGCTTGTATAAAAATTTGCTGGTTAGCTTAGTTAGAGTAGCTTAGCTTAGTTAGTTTGGTCTTTAGTTAGCAGGGAAACTTCAAACCAGTTTGAGAATTATTCCTCTTAGTGCACACGAGGAAACTTCACTGTCTTGCTGGGCCTGTTGTGGCAGAAAGTTGTTGTTTGGCTGGTTCTAATATGTAGTATAAATGACGGCTCGGTCTAATGACGCACAATACAAGCTGTACTGTCACGACAGAGGTCATTGGAAAGCTGATTTTACTAGAAGTATACTCAACAAAATTATAAACACATTTTTGCCCCCATTCATCATGAGCTGAACTCAAAGATCTAAGACTTTCTCGATGTATACACACGGCATATTTGTTTCAAATATTGTTCACAAATATGTCAAAATCTGTGTTAGTTAGCACTTCTTCTTTGCCAAGATCACAGTATGCCACCCACCTCACAGGTGTGGCATAACAACATGCTAATCAGACAGCATGGGTATTGCACAGGTGTGCCTTAGGCTGGCCACAATAAAAGGCCATCTGTCATCATGCAGTGAAAAAGACTAAAACTAACACTGAAACTAATAAAAACTAAACTAAAACTAAGCATTTTCAAAAGTAAAATCTAAACTAAACTAGCAATCCCTAAATAAAACTAAACTGGAATTGAAAGCAAAAAGTCAAAACGAAATAAAAATAAAAACTAATGAAAACTTCAAAACTTCAATAACCTTGGGAGTGAGTTGTTGCATGAGCACCAGAGTGATTCGTCCCTAAAACAAATATTTTGCCATGTTATGTCTGCTACGGTGGTAAGCAGTGTAACCAGTGGCTACTTTGTACAGAATGGGGTGTTGTTCGGGAAATGGGTTACTCCAGGTAATGACTTTGTGGGAGATGCTGTTTTTCAGTTAGTGGTGCTGGGAAATTCCATCCCCTAGTCTTGAAAGTGGCTCATGACGAAAGTGGGCACTTTGGAGTTAAGAAAAGTTATCTCAACATCTTATGACATTTTTGGGCTGCGCATAGAAAGAGATGTTGCACAATTTATCAAAACCTACCATGTGTGCCAGTTAACAGGAAAGCCGAACCAGTCCATTAAGCCTGCTCTACTACAGCCTATCCTTGCTGTAAATTAACCCTTTGGGCATCTCAATTTGAATTGTGAGTGCCTGTTGCCATGCTCTAAGTCTGGATGC